ACTTGTCGAGGAATAAATCGGATCACTGTAATCGTCAAAATGAATGAGTCGAGTGAAAAGATCACAATATGCCTGTATACATGTAACTTTTCTACATAAATGCGCGCGGCAACCGCCTCTCTTATTTGTCTTCTATAAAACATGAATCGATCTGGATCTCTATATCCCTGAAACACACAGATCATTGTGAGGAAGATCACACGCACGCGCGCATATATTTCATTCTTTGAAAAATAGGGAAAAAAAAAAAAAAATAAAATATACTACCCTCTTCTTTAGAGCTTTTTACCTTTTTTCTTGTTTTTTCACCTTTTCTTTGCGTCTAAGTTACTTTTTGCACATAATTTGCTTCATCCGTCGATCACTATCTTTTCCAATTTTTATCCTCTCGTGTAGATTATTTCTTTTGCATTCACGCATAACATCCACGAATACACGCATACTCATTCAACATTTGTCGAATTACTACGATGATCGTATACAAGCATTCGTTATTTTTATCATCTTTCTTCTTCCATCTTTTTTTCCTCCGTTTTTTGTTCTTCTCTTTGCGATCTCTGTGCCTTAAAAATTGTTCTTAACTACTTACTAATATAATCGATTCTAATCACAGCAATTATTTATTGTTGATATACACAATCGTACAGCATCTCTCTCGCTAACTTTTTTTTTTACTTCAGCTTGTTCTTTTCGATATATACTATATATATTATATATATATTTATATGTAATTCACGTGTGTATGTTTCTCGAATTGTTCGCTTCAGAAACCTGCTTTATATTCCCTCTGTCGTTTTTGCATCCTGATTTTTTAAGTTTCAGTTGAGCAGAGGTTGTTTCTATAGGCGCACGAACGACGATGTCGTCGCCATATTGTTCCTAACTTTACTTTTTCTTCTTTTTCTTTTTATTCCATCATTTTTCTCGCGATTTTCTGTTATTTTTCTTTTCGCACGTTTAACGATACGTTATCATCGTACGTTTAACGATACGTTGTCATCATACGTTCGACGATAGAGAGCGAAGGGACAAGGGGTGCGACGGGTTGCGAAGAGAATCACGTGAAATCACGAAGACGAAGAGGATAACGAGAAGATCCAGCAGAAGAGTAAAAATTATTGTATTTTTGTTTTTTCTTAATTTCGGTCTTTCCTCTTTTGTTACTATTTTTTCTTATCTTAGCCTCGGTGTATACGTGTGCGAGTGCAAGGAGGTTATAATCGGTGAGAAAAGAGAAAATTACTTCGTCGAGAACGTCGATGTATGATCGAATATCGTCTTTTTACAATCGCAATCGTTATTAACATTATAATATAAATAATATTACATTATTTATAACGATGTTACAGATAATATTACACTGATTTAATTTAGTTTACTTTTACTTAACTTATAAACAAAAAGTAAATGAATTTCAATTCAACATGTTGATATTTTCTTTTCACACATTTCTTCTTGAAAATAAAATTGCGATTAAATGAGCATATAAACATATAATATTTCGAATAAATGACAATGTTCGATTGAAAATTTTGTTTTCGAACATTATCTGAGCAAATTATCGATGAATTACCGATTATATTAACCTCTTGCATAATCAATATGATTTAAATAAATGGTTAAAATATTTTCGATTTTTTCTTTTTTTTTTTTATAATGAATTCATATTTTAATTTTATTCAAAATTATTATAATTGGTTATTGAAAAAATAAAAAAAATCAAAATCATAAATGTAATATCTATTCAAATTTATATATAGTTTCTCTATTTCAAAAGTTATCAATGATTACAATAAATTGTTTTCTGCAATATAATAATGATAAATAAAATAAAATTTAAAAAATATAAATATATATAACTTCTAAGAAATAATTTCTTTTGATTTTTTTATAATTCTTACTTTTTTTAGAATGATAATGACTATCATGGATTGATCATGTAAGGGGCTAAAAGTGTAATAAAAATAAGATTATAAATAGAAAAACAAATGCTAATCCGATTGATGAAATTAATGAAATAATATCATTTAAAGAATGATATTAAAGAACATGAGTAAATTGATAAATATATACAACGACATGAATATAAATATTTACAAAAAGATTTCAAATTTTGAGCGATCAAAAAAAGATAAAGCTAGAAATAAATTTTCGATCGCTGAACTAGCTAACTTCAGTTAGCTACATATTCGATACATATTGCACATCATTCTCGCGTCCTCGACATTAAAACGAAGAAAAGAAAACGTGATTTAATGTCGATTTTTCTAATTATTTTTTTAAGACGACACAATCAAGAATCTTTTTCTTCGCTAAAAAGTCAATAACAGTAATGACGCACGCAATTGAGAAAAATAATTGTCTAAAAAAATAGTCCAAATTTCGCGAGGGAAATACGCTGATTATGTAAAGAGGACGAGGAAGAACATGAAAAGATCCGCGGAAGGCGCATATTCTCTAAGCGAGAACGACGAGCTTTATCGAAGATTTCGCGCGGATCACGAATCTTTGGCACACATTGGAAGATTCCATCGAAAACCCATCAAAGATTCAATCGAAGATTCATCGACGATTTATCGAACGATCGATTGATCGATATAGAAATAATGTTTTCTGAGTTAGTGTAACATTTTTATTTTTCTTTCAAAAATATCAACATTTATATTCTTAATGAATAATTAACCTTTTCAATATACTCGAGTTTAATACAAATTATTGTTGCAAATGGATTTTTTTTATATTTTTATTTATTTTTTAATGATATTATTTTGACATGTTTATGTTTTTTGGCAATAAAATTTAAATTGTTAAATTCCGATCGATAATAATAATTATAGATCTATTAAAATATTTGCAAAAATCTGACTTAAGTTAATAGAAATTATTATTAAACATTAATAAATAAATATCAAGAGAACATTATAAATGATTTTTTAATTACAGATAAACATTTATATTACAAAAGGATTAATCATTTAAAAATGTTTAATTGCTGATTTATTTTGCTATTTAAGTAACATCGGCACCTAATCATTATTAGATTAACTCAGGAAACATTGTTCGACAGTCTTGCTTCGAATATATTCGATATCATCATCGAACATCATTACAATCATCTAAAAAATGGACACCGAACGAAACGCACGCTTATGCATATATGCATGTGTACTGACCATCGTGCACCGTGTATTGAAACACATATTGTATTGGGAATTAATATTGAACTCTGGATATATATATGAACAATGATCAAGATAAAGATCAAGAAAAATTCCACCTAACCATTCTTATCTTTCTTTCTTGATTTCGCTATTTTTATTTCATTCTCAGAGCTCGTCGATTCTAGAAGACACTGAATTTACCCTGCAATGAATATACACACAGAGAATAATTGAAAAATCTGAATCTGATTTTGCTCGCCAAATGTCATTGAAGCGAATTATAAAAGCACGCTCTAGTTTAAAAATGATGAACTAATAATACATCCTTGGTCTGCAGAGTCATTTATATGTACCGATTTGACTCTTACAATTTATATTATAGATTTCATAATTTATATTGAAATTTTATAATTTCTTTTTTTTTTCTCATTCTTAATGTTACTAATATTTCATTGTGTACTATTAGTTGATTAACATAAGAACAGTTCGTACAATTCAACATTGAAGAAATTCGTTATAGTTCCCTATTCTAGGTTATGACAAACGAAGTTTCTATATGAAAAAAGATCTAATAAACGGCGGAAGAATAGCTTGAATTGGAGATTGAAGATGAAGAAAAGGATAAAGAAGAAAATACTTCTTGATGAAAACTAAGTTTTCAGCTCGCACATCTTTTCATTATTTTATCTCCTCTAACTCTTTATTTTTCTCTTCACTTCTTTTTTTTTTATATGATATAATTTATACTCATATAATTTCTTTTAATAGAAGAACGCTATCATCAATTCGACATTTTATATTATTATCGAATATTATCTTCGATTAATGAATCGAATTGACGATATTTTTTTCCTTTTTTCGACAATTTTGTCGTTTATATTTTTTTTTGTTTCTTTATTTTTTTCTTTAAATATCTGCCACACTGGATTCGAGACCGGTTTCAAACTCTGGTTTTGAGATTTTTTAAGATGTTTTCAAAGAGGAACTCGACGAGAGATCCAACTACGACCACGGTCATTTCAAGATAAAAGAAAAGAAATACGAATGCTTTCTCTTCTTTTTAATATTAATATTCAAATCTTTGTATGTAATATGATATAATATATTTTAATTTATTAAAATTAAATTTTAATCATCGAATTTGATAAATAATTAAAATATTTTTTTAATCTCATTTGTTTGAGAATTCATCAAAATAGAAAATATTGATATTTTTAATTAATGAACTTCTTTCTTTTTATTATGATTTTAAATAAATTTTATCAATGGAAAATGATAAAGATTTAATGATTGGAAAGCATCGGTGGTTACGAAAATTGATGATTTGTTCAAAATTTAACATAATAAATCTATCATATATTATTTTTATATTTTATAAAATGAACAATGTGAAGAAAATAAAAATCAATAAAAATGTTAAGATATTGTAATGCGTTAATTAAAACTTTATTGATTAAATAAATTTATTGATTGATATAATATGATATATAGTATAATTAAATTTATACTTATATTTTCTTTTTTATATAGATTATATAACAAATTAAATATTGGAAAAAATTATTTAAAGTTATTATTATAAATTTAATAAAAATATTCGAACCTGAAATAAATAAATAATTTATGATTATGATATTGCAGAATAATATAATAAATAAAGGATTCATTTGAATGAAACATGCAAGATGAATTGAATGGCGCGCGCATAACTAATGGCTGCTTAGTCTACTTCTTCGAATGAATTACCGAGCATCGTAAAAGATTTTATGATGCATTATGTTTGGCGAAATACTTCAGCCGTACTAGAGAGCTAAATTATGCATTGAATGCATCAATTTATCAATTATTATGCAAAACAAAAATGAATAGAAAGTTGCTTTGTACTAAAGACAAAAGGTAATTATAATATTTAAAATTTAATATTAATTATATATTTTACAATTAATTATATTAAATTATTTCTCTATAATTCTCTGCTAATTCTTCATTTCCTTTAAATTATTATAAAAATTATATAAAATTAAAATACACATTTTAAAGTTTATATTTTTTTTCCTAATGTAATCATCTAACTAATTTTTATTAAAACCCTTAATACTTTATTAGTTAATTACATTTTTAATTATTTTTTTAATTATTTTTTCTATTTTTTTATTTTTATTTTTTTTTTTTCTAAATAAGAACAAATAAATTTAACAATAAAAAGAATAAAGTATCTTTACAAAACAAATAAAATATTGTTTGTAATGCAATATTTATGCACATAAATTTGTCTACCGATAAATTAATAAATATAACAATAGACACACAAACATATTAATTTCTATTACGAAATAACAATGCAAAACAAATTTAATTAAATGTTAAATTTAAAAAATTTCCACTTTCACCGAAGCTTTCCAAAAAAAATTGAATTAATTATCATTATGGATGATAATAATGGAATAAGATTTTTAAAAAATGGCACAAAATTTTAATAATTATAAGAATCTTATTTTTAAATTGATTAAACTCTACTTGATAAGGTCTCTGATAATGTGAACATATTAAAACAGCATATTGATTTTATTTTAGATCTCCTCTTAATCTCTGTCGAATCTCCATTATAGCTTCAAGCAGATGAAGAACTTATATATTGAATCTCCTAAAAGATGGTCAATTTCATTGAAAAGGGACAAGAAGACTATTGTCTCAAAAATTAATTAATTATCAAGTCAAAGACCCCTCTACTTCGTCTCGATCGACGCAGAAAACCAACAGAATTATAGAAAATAACACTTGGGCGTTATTTGATGGTCAACTGGAATTTCCCAAGTGATAATTTCTTTTTCTTATGATGTAGCATATTATTGAAGTACAATTTTTTCGCGAACATACCTTTGTTGGAAAATAAAATTCTCCAATCGTGGAGGATTTTTCTTTTCAAACAAAAGATGGATTACCTATATTCTAGGGCAAAAACTTAATAAGAAATCTGACTTCTTCTAAAGATAGAATCTGAAAGTTATTTCTTTCATTTCATATCTGTAATGAGAAATATTGAGTAACAATTATTTTCTACTCTTCATTGATACTCTGAATGCTTATATGAAATCAATATGCTTTTAATAATATTTAATAATGATTCTAGAAGAATTTATTGAAAGATTTCTTTATCCAAAAAAATAAAAATATCAGTAATAGAGAAAATTCTATTAAATTAGAAATCTAAGTTCTGCTGGATATTTTCATACTGGAGATTTCAATGTCCAAAGAGGGGTCATTATCCCATTGGGATGGCTTTATATTTTAAATTAGCTAAATGGGTGAAAAGAATCCCATCAGTCTCCATTCCTTAAAATAGCCAGCAATAGAAAAAATGCTAACAATCGACCTAGTAATATTATATAGTTATTCAGCGTCTTTTTTTCATACATTCATAATTAATAATTATAATAATAATTTTTTCGTACTATTCTGACCGAAAATATAAAATCACCTTTTCTATCATTGAATTTCTGTTTCCACTTGATACCATGAATTGTATATCATATTTTATATTTTCGAAGCTTTATCAATTTTTTTTTATAAAAAATTATATCGTAATATCGTAGTATTAGATTATTCTTAATAAATAATAAATTTATATATTAAATTAGAAATAATAGTTTAAAAATTACTTGCTTTATTTAAGAATTTAAATGAAAATTAAATCCTTAAAAATAATTCTTAAAGACTAAAAATCTAACAGAATAATGTTAGATTAAATGTAATTAATTAAATAATTAAATAAAAATAAATAATTAAACATTAATAGATTTTTAAATAAAAATTAGGATACTTATATGATAAATATGGCGCTATATAATTTCGCTCTTTCAAAAATAGCATTTAATATGCAAAATTTAATCCATGAAAACAAAGATCCAATCATTGAAATATGAGGTGATCGAAAATTTTCGGCCATTGTAGTATTTTTCTTCCGCCTCTTTCATATTCTCATTTTGTTTTTTTTCTCTCGTTTTTTTAAATATAAAAATGAAAACTAACATATCTTTGGCTTGTTCCCTTTACCAATCGGCAGCAGTCACCGTGTATGTATAACGGGCTGCGGCGTGCATCATTATTTGTTTCTTCTTTTTTTTTGTTTGTTTAAATATCTTTTGTACATTTTTGTACACTTGAGTATATATATATATATAATATATTCGTGTACGCATATGCGTGTCTTCTTCGTCTCTACTTGCATGTATTTTTTTTCTTAATTTTTTTTTCTTTTTATAATTATTATTATTAAGCGCGTGCTCGATTTAATCCCTTTTCTCTCTGCATTCTCGCCATTTATGTACACCTCTGTGATTCTCTTGTCGAGAGCGCGCACAATATTCTCACGTATATATATATATATAT